TAGGAGATTAAAAGTTGCTGTCCATCCTCTTCTAGCCTGAAAGATTTCAGCAGGAAGATCTGCAATCATTCTAATACTCTTTCCTTTGTAGGTTATGGTTTTCTTGCATCTAACTGCTTTCAGAATTTTCTCTTTCAATTTAACCTTAGTGAAGTTAATTATGATGTGCCTGGAGGATGTCTTGTTCGGGTTGATGCTGGGGTTCTGAGTCATGCTGCGGTTCTGAAACTATCTGCTATCTGAATTTCAGAATCTCTTGGCATGCCTGGAAAATTCTCTTTCAAAATTTCATGAAGAAGAGCCTCTGTGTTTTGTGAGGCAGCTTCATCACTTTCAGGGATTTCTATAAGGCGAATATTAGTTTTCTTTGAATTATCCCAGAGCTCGCTGAGAGAAAGATCCATTTTTGCTTTCCATTTCTTTTCATCTTTGTGCTCTTGGGCTTGTTCAAAAGCTTTGTCTTCAATAACAGGGGTCCTTTCTTCAGCCTGTTACACTCTGTTACAAAGAGATTCAACTGTATTTTTCAAATCTTTGAGGGCTATGAATTCTTGCCTTAAGGTTTCAAAATCTTTGATCATTTTATCTTTGAAATGGTTGAATTCTTAAGTCATCTTTTGAATAATTTCTTGGAACATCTTTTGAATAATTTCTTGAAACTTTTTTTGAATAATTTCTTGAAGTTCTAGTTCTTTCCTTTCTTTCATTCTATTAATCTTATTTACTATCCACATTCTGAACTTGATTTCTGTCATCTCAGCCATCTCTTTATGGGTTCAGTCTTCAGATGCCTCTGCTACATTCTTCCTTGGGGGAGGTTGATCTACTCTGGTCATTCCTACTACCGAAGTTTTTCTGCTGACTCTTCCCCATGCTGGATTTACTCCATTTGGCTAGGTGAGCAGGTAAAAGGAAGTTGGGTTGGGGGCTCCAGGAGTAGTATTTTACTAGCCTTTTTGCGCAAAGGCTGGGACTGGTGTCTGTACCTTTTCTCCTAGAGCTTTGCCAAGGATGTGTATAATGCTACAGTCTGAGAGCCTGGGGGCCTGCGCGTCTCTATCTTGTTTTCGGCTGGTCTCTGTTCTACCTTAGAAAATCAATTACTCTGGGTTAAGATCTCGGCTGTGGAGAAATATCAGCGATTAAGTCACCCATTCCCTCCCTGGCGACAGTTGGGAAAGGAAAACCACACCTTCCCTCAGCCACACCCCTAGGGTATCACTTCAGATAGTTCTCAGGTGATTCGCTGAATTCAAATGATCTAAGTCAAGTGTCCCAGTGAACACAAGTCTCAAGTGGGAGAGTTCAAGAGGTCTCTGGCAACTGCACAGCAGGGGTCTTCTGGTAGCTCAGCTATGACTCTCTCCAGTGTTCTGTTGGGTCAGAAGGACCTACCCAGTAAATAAAATATTCTAGGGAAGTTGATGCCTCCTACCCCACCTTGTACCTTCGTCACACCCAGTCACTGGAGACCCTGCAGGGCTGTGACCCAGTTGCCCAATAAGCAAATGTGGCAGGGCTTTGTGTCTGCCAGAATCAAAGTAGAGCCAATGCCAGCTCCACTCAGTTACTACTCTTTGTCCCCCACCAGCAAAGAGAGCTGAAGCTTGACTGTCTCAGACACTCAGTGACAGCTGGAGAATATTCCACCTGAAGACCATTTAGGCCTTGAAAATCCAGAGAGCATCAGAGATTCTCCCTTGACCACCAGTTAATTTGCCCAAATCAAGAGATCCAAACCTATTGACCCTATCAGTACCCACTTTCTGGTTGGAAAGATCACAAGGTCTCCAGCAACTAGATAATAGGAGTCTACTGGTGGTACAAGTGTGGCTTGCTCTGATGCTCTGAGGAGTCAGATAGGCCTGTTCAGTAGATGATTTGGAATAAGGAGGCTGATGTCTCTTTTCCCTCCTTACTCGCCCTTTGCTGCCAGACTCTGGTAATTTCAGTCTCTGTTAATCCCACTACCTGTCTCTGTTAACCCAGACTCTGTAACCCAGTCCTGTCCAATAGGCGAGTGAGTTGGGGTTTTGTGCCTACCAGAATCCAGGTAAAGTCAATGAGTTCATCATGGTTTTGTGCCTGCCAGAGTCCAAGTAATGTCAATGCCTTCTCCACTCAGTGACCACTCTTTGTTGCCTGCCAGCAGAGATAGCTGAAGCCTATCTGCCTCAGGTACTCAATGGGAGCTGGAGAATATTCCACTTGGGCTCAATCTAAACCTGGAATTTGTTTTCTTGAAGTCGTGGTTTGCCTCAGTGTGGAAGACTTGTGTTTATCTATCTCTTCTCTCAGCTCGGCTCCCCACCTTCAGCTTCATTGGGTTCTTCCGGCGTTTGTCTCTCTCCCTGAACTGAAGTTTATGTTGAAAGCTACCTCCAGTTAGCTCTCATCTCCTGTTCCTCCATATTCTTATTGAATGTGAAAATTGGAGTTAGGGAATATAGCCAACCCAAGGAGTTAGCAAAGTACAACACACATTGAAACCAAGTGGACAAATAAACAGACTAAAATGCTACCAGACACACAAGCACACCGATGCCCAGACACTCAGAAACAAGTAAACAAACAGGCAAAAAAGAAAACAAAACAAAAAACAAACCAACCAACAAATAGACCAAAAAAAAAAAAAAAAAGATAGTAATAATAAAAGATAACCACAAAAATGGTGGTCATAAAATGATAGAGAAAACAAATAGCTAAACAAACAAAGAAGAAAGAAAATTTAAAAAAAGAAAAAAAAAGAAAAGGAGGTCACCACTAAGAAAAACACTGTTCTTTTGAATATATACAAACAAACCCCTTTATAAATGCGGTGGGGTTCCAGTTTAAAGGAAATATAATTATGCTGCAATATACTTTCTAAACAGCAGCTGGCACTGTGAGTGGATCCCAGGCTAAAACCAAAAAGAAAAGAAAAAGTATCTTCGCTGGCAGGTTGCACAGATTCTCCCTACAACAATTTCCGCAAAGTTTTGGGCGTCTTGGATTAGCTTCAGATGCCAGATGGCTGGCTGCAAGTCAGATTGAGCTCTCCGTGCTTCTGGGAGAGGTGTTATGGAGATGCCATTTTTGGAGTTTTACATTACATCTGGTTCCTGGCTGGCCACCCACTCCTATCTATCCTCCAAACTCAGCACACGAGTCCACACTTCACCAGATTTTCCACTCAACTCCTAGTTTCCCCTCGAACAGAAAATTGTTGTGGTCCATGGGAAAAGAGCTGGGTGCTTTTTGCACACCCTGCATTCAGTCTGTTTCTGATGGGGGAGGAGTTGGTTACTTCTAGTTCCCACCACCTCCACAGCCGCCAGGGGAACAAAAGACTTTTCAGTGTTTGTAGTAAGGGAACCAATCCCCCTGTGGGTCACTGCGTCAGTGCAGCTCCACACAGACTTCCAAAATTATAGGATGGATCAGTTTCTAAGTGGAGTCCCTTCCCCTCAAGTTTCTGTCCAATTGTCTGGATCCCTGATGCCCCAAACCGGGTCCAAATCGCTCCTGTTTCTTGCTGCCAAAATCCGCTTGGGAATCCACATCTCACCACACTCTCCAGAAAACACACAAACTCCCCATGAATTGGACACAGTTCTTTGTGGGGGAGGGATTGGTTTCTACCTCTCAGGGCACCAGCTGCAGGCCTGGCACCATGGTCTCAGCTGCCGCAGGTCACAGCTGGCACCGTTTCAGCTGTTGCCCTGAGTTTTTTCTGGCAGACACCGTAGTTCTGGGCTACACTTTCAATCCAGCAATTCACCTCCTTGCTGCACACCCTGCGCTGCTTGTCTGTGCCAGTACTTCATGCAGGAAAAGATCCAGCCCCCCACTCTCACCTGAAACCACCAGGAAAGTTGACCCAGGGATGCATCCCCTCCACCATCTTGCTCTGCCTCCTCTGCTTAATGTTTAAAATATTGTCTTGATTTATGTAACTATAAGAACCCCCTATTTTCCTGATTTAATTTGTCTAATTTGCAATATCATAAGGTTTTTTTTTCTCTTCTTTGCTTAGCCTATTTAAAGAATTCTGAAGCAATATTGATTTCAAATTATGTGATCATTTAGAAGTTTAAAAGATTAGTAGCTTTATTGAGATATAATTCACATGTCATACAATTCATCCATTTAAAGTATACAATCCAATGTTTTTTAGTATCTTCATAGAGTTACACAACCATTATCACTATCAGTTTTAGAACATTTTCATTACCCAAAATGGGCAAATAAACATGCACAAACACAAAAGCATTCACACTCCAAATGAATTAGATACAGGTTCCTTGTCACTTTCTACCTGGCAGGGACCAGATTTTTAAGATCCATCATTTAACAATTCAAACATACAAATCAAACGTCAAAATCCATCAAAATCTGCCATCAGCCTGGATACAAAATCTCAATGAAAAGCTAACTTGTCAAAGAATCAAGCAAAGAAAGTAAAAAACAAACCAAGAAAAACCTTCAACCCAGAGACTTCTCAGAGCAGCCAAGGGATGAGGTGAGGAGCACATTCACGCTCTGTTTCTGCTGCTTCAAGGAGAGGCCCAGACAGGCAATGCACACTGGACTTAAGGCAAAAACTGCTAAAGAATAACTCAAAGGCACTAACTAATTAATAGACCACTGTTTACTATTATATAAGGGAGATCAATCAATAGATTTATTTGATCTAATAAGGCAGAGCTAGAATTTATATAAGAGAAGGAAGAAAATTAACTTCAGAGATTCTGGGAAAAGTAGATTTTATTCTACATTATTGGGCAAATTGGCTGGAAGATGACAAAGATGTCAGTCTAGACAGCTTAGCTTTGAGTACAAGAAGTATGGAAATGAAAGAAAGCAATTTCAGTTGTTAACAGATTGTCTAGAGTCTGTGAATTTAGTTTTGCTGCATTTCTGTCAGGCTGTCTCTGGTAATGACTGGGAATCCACACCTTTTTCTATCAGTACCTGCACCTTAGTTAGGCCAGGTCTGCACTTTACTTGATGGGAATTTCTCACTTTCCTGTGTTCTGATCTTTTTGCACCAGCTTCTTCAAAGATCCCTTTACATCTTTGTTTCTCAGAGTATAAATGAGGGGGTTGAGGGTGGGAGTTACTACGGTATACAAAAGGGTTATGAACTGTCCTTGACTGTGGGCATATGAACTATTGGGCTGGATATAGACTGCTGTGATGGTCCCATAGAAGAGGGATACTACCAACAGGTGGGATCCACAAGTTCCAAGGGCTTTACGCCATGCTTGAGCTGACCTAATCCTCATCACCGCTTGGACAATGCACCCATAGGATACCAAGATGAGTGCCAGGGGGAGGAGGAGCAGGACCAAGGAAGCCATGAAGAGCTGGACTTCATTAGCATGAATGTCCACACAGGCCAACTTGATCATGGCAGGCACTTCGCAGATGAAGTGGTAAATGTTACGGTTTCCACAACGGGGCAGCTGAAGGGTGATGGTGCCCTGAATCAGGGCGTTGCCCACTCCACTCAACCATGCTATTCCTGCAAGAGACTGGCAAAGTCGTGGGTGCATAACCGTGCCATAGTGGAGTGGTCGGCAAACAGCAGCATAACGATCAAATGCCATGACAGCTAGCAGAACACACTCAGTGGATCCCAGTGCCAGAGACACATAGAGTTGGATGGCACAGCCTATAGGGGTAATTGTCTTGGCTGGACCATGGAGGTTCCATAGTAGCTGAGGAACAATGCTGGTGGTAAAGCAGAGGTCAACAAAGGAGAGATTGGTAAGAAAATAATACATGGGTGTGTGGAGTGTGGGATCCAAACAGGAGACCAGGATGATTGTTGTGTTGCCTAGCAGTGTCAGGAGGTAAGAGATTAGCACAAGCACAAAGAGAATCTTCTCAAGCTGTGGCTGATCAGAGAAACCCACCAGTAAGAAATCATCTCCCAAACTCTCATTAATTGTTTTCATCACCTTACTTATAAAAGGAGAGAGATGATGAGTATAAAAATATAGATTTTAAATAGTGGGGAGCAATGAGAATGAGAAATACATTTGAGAGAAATTGACTCTGGAAATGCAGAATGAGGGATTCTCATAGGAGAGATGTTGGGAGGGGAGAGAGACAGAAAGAGGGCAAGAGAAGGAGAAAGACACCTGCATGTCTCCAGGAGGAAGTAAAATTATGCAGAAATTACTGAGAACTGTTAAAAGATATAGTGACATAAAATAGACAACATGAAAAGTGATTAATAATTAATGATTGCTCAGTTATTTCATATTATTTTGTTTTTTTCCTTAAAAGCCATGCCTTTCTTTTTCAGTAGCATCTTGTAACATAAAAGAAAATAGGAAGGCATCAAATGTAGAAATATCTTCTTTGCCTTGCAATTATTCTGTGAGTTGTCAATAGCAAAGTAGCAAATAAAGATCATCTATATTTTTGAAAAAAATTACATAATTGTTTGAATACTTTACCTTAACACATGCATTCATCCTTATCATGCTATGGATGAAATATGAAATGCTGAGTCATCATGTTTTAACTACTTAATAGATAACATCTACATTTTAACTAATCTTCTTACAACACTTTTTCTTATATTGTAAAAATGGGAGGTCTAGTTTGGAGTAAGTTAACATGGTCTACAGAGAAAAAGCACTGTTGTAAGAAGGAAATAATTTTTCATGACTTATTAAATATATTTTTTAATTGGATACTTTATTTTTATATTAGTTAAAGTAACCAAAATTTTCAAAAACATTTATTTTTGACATATTTTATTGAAGCTGTGTTTGGAGTATAATTCATATTTTCCTTTATATAAATTCAAAAATTAAAGTTGATTGGGTCTGGAGTATGTGAGAAGTATCTGTGAAGTATGGATAAAGAGTCAGTTTTTGAGGGGGTTTTAAACAGGTCAAGAGAAAATATAGGTCAGGGGGAGCCAGTTATTGACAAACTTGCATTTAAAAAATGACTGGCCTCAGATTACAGAATGGATCAACAAGCAATAAATTAAGATGTGGGAACTCCTCAGTATGCTGTCATAATACCGGTAGCAGGGAAGATTTATATGTAGAGATATTTAATACTTAGATTCAATAGGACAGGACTGACCAGACTAGCAGAGTGAGAGGGAAGGATCAATGAGGGTTCACAGGTTCATTTCTTAAACAATTGTCATCTATGGAGAAAAGAGACATGAAAGGTGAAAAAAATATTTTGTAGAAAAATATTAGATGCACATACCTTTAAGTTTGTTATTCCAAAATATTTGAATATTTGGATAAACAAGAAAGTTAAATATCTGAATAAATATTTCCCAAAACTTAAAACATGATCAATCCTGTTTTTGACTCCTTATCACATACATCTTCCCTAGACATTCATTTGAATATATTGAGAATGTCCTCATTAGAAGTCATCTAACAAAAATTTTCACTTTAAAATTATATCAATTTTAGTTATCAATAAAATAGATATCAATATAGTTATTTCATATCTATCTAAACTTGAATATAATTATGATATTTTGTATCTTTCAATCATTTCAACCAATCTAACCTTACATCATTTAATTTTTTTTTATTGTTGGGGATTCATTGAGGGTACACAGAGCCAGGTTACACTGATTGCTTTTGTTAGATAAGGACCCTTTTACACATTTAATTTTTTAAGAATACCTAATTTAGGGCTGCATAGTAAACGAAGACTTTACCTCCTTCATGTTTACATGGATGGAACTGGAAAATGTTCTTCTTAGCAAAGTATCACAGGAATGGAGGAAAAAGTATCCAATGTACACAGCCCTTCTATGAAACTAATATATACTTCTCAAATGAAGGAAACAACTTAATTCTAGCCCAAGAATATGG